GTAATAAGCAATGAAGGCCTGCTCAGCATTTCCAAGGAACATCCATTCAGATGACTGTGGAAAAAAAAAAAAAAAGCAAAATCTCACTTTATTGCATTTCTATTTTATAAGGAAAAAATAAAAAAAAGAGGCAGCTAGCTTCCAGATACCTGCATGTACAGAAAACAAACCCCTCAGGAGCTGAATGTTTCCTGCTGCAATCTTACAAATAAATAATATTCAGTGGAATACAGAAACACAGAGTTAATGCTTATCTCAAACCGATTAATCTGAAAAGAAGTGAAATTAGTGCTCTCATTGCAGCTGGAAAGGCACTGCTACTTCCATACCTGCTTATTACACACCAAATGATGTATACCTAACACAACTTTTAATACATATTGCTATGTTATACTTACATCTCTCTCTTGTGGTTGAAATCAACTGCATAAACAATTTCTTCCTCTCCATCCTTGACAATCTTCCAGATTGTGCCTCCTATCATGTGTCCAGCTGGCAGCGGCGTGATTGACAAACCATGTCCTTTGCCTACAGAAGTTTTCAATATCTTAGATACATGTATTAACATCCATTATTCTGAATAAATGAGTAACTCTGAACAACGGCAGGCCAAAATTATTACTGGCAGAAGAAAGTCAAACGAAGTATGAAAAAAAACACTAACATCTGTCCTTCCCATCTAGCCAGTAACCTCAAAATTTTTTGCAGTATACTTCTATTCAGCCTCCAGAAAAAGAAACTAAAGTGAAGATCACTTCTTTCCCGCACTGATACTGAGAGGCACTCTGGTGCAAAACAGACCCGTCTCTAGGGCAACACAAGATGCTTACTGCATCACTGGCTGCCTGAGTACTTACAAATCCACATACATATTACACAAACTGGGCAGTTTTGCAGAATGACAAATACGCAAATCAAACAAACCGGGAAAAGCATTCAAGTGCTTCAGTCAGGGATAATCTATCTTTTCAATACCTGATGCCTTTCTTAATGCATTGCTACTCCTTGATGTGGCCGCTAACCTGCATTGTTGCTAGAATAAAATGAGACTACTTGTGACCATTACTCACTGACTTCACTGCATGCCACCAACTTGAACAGAAATGCACAGCTTTAATAATTAAAACATACATCATCTTCTTATATGCATCCACCAAATCTTTCAAATCACTTACGTTAAATATGAAAGAGTTTTTAAGAAACACCCTAGAAAAAGTTGTTCACTAAAATTACTTTTAAGATGTAAAAGTTGGCAGCATAAACATAGCCTTGCTACACATACCTTGAAAAAGCATCAGCAGCCTTTCAAGGATGACATCCCATTTCTGTTTTCCAAATTACAGGGCAAGTATTTTGGCAAGCAGCATTCAGGAACTAGGAGATATTGCACCTGAGACTAGCTGCTGGTGGTTAGCTTGTAGGTGTCTGTTCAAGAACAGGATTTCCGATTCATTCTGATCTTTGGCTTAAAGAGTGAGTGAGAAGCTGCTGATCCTCTGGATGCCACAGTTCCCAGCAATAAGCTAGACTGAATATCATAAAGAGCCAGTGAAGACCTCCTAAGCCATCCACATGGTGTAACTTAACATCTGCAAACTATTAATTCTCTAGGAAGCCTTCCTATGTGTTTCTAGTTATTGAAGAGTTCCGAGTTATCTACCACTAGGCATGAGTATATGCTTTTGAGAGACAATAGCAGGAAAAGTTACAAAAACATACAAACAAAAACGTGTCTAAATATGCTTTGGCATGACCTTCTCCTCATTAAGTGGAAATTCTACCCATTTTCACATACAATTACTGAGGCAAATGTTCAGCTGATATAGACTGATACAGGGCTACCAGTATCAGTCCTGCAAAATCCATTACATGTCAAAGCTTGCTCCCTTTTTAAATTAAAGGTGTGTGTATATATATATATATATATATATATACACACACACACACATATACACACACATACATAAACTCTTAGTGAAAGACAACAGTCATTAAAAGTCATTTAGTGAAACTTGGGTGACATCTTTACCTTTCAAGTTGACAATCTGAGAAAACTTCAGCTGTTGTATCTTATCAAAGGCTGCATCTACATCATCCAATGTAAAGAGTGTGAAATCTTCAGTATTATGGCGGGACTAAAACAAATAAGGAAAATTCAAGAACCTGAGCACTCTACCATACAGATGTGTACAAAAGTAGTAACTTAAACATACCTGGTAGAGATCATACATGAACATCTGTCCCATTTTATATACAGGAATAGTTGCATAAATGGCACAATTCAACCCCATTTTTCCAACTGCATATGGAAGCGCACCAAGGTGTAGAGGGTCAGGATGAGAAAGAAGAACAGCATCAACTTGGTGTACATGTCTACAAAAAGAGGACAACAGAAGTTGGTGAAAAGAGTTCTTTATGGTGTTATATACTCCCTACTATGGCTATTTTGAGAATACATACACATCCTGAAGGCCAAACAAAAAAACTTAAATCCTTCCAAGTTCAGAATGAAGTTTTTAAAATCATCATTTAAAAGTTACAGATCTTTCCAAATGTTCAAGTACTAGAACTGCAAGTGAATACTGAAAACATGATTTCAAGGTCTGGAAGACATACATTTCACATAAAATTCTTGATTAGAAAGACCTTAATATATGCTTGGACACCAGAAAGTGCATTAACTGAGGGGTCAAAAATATTACCAGTGCAGACATGCTACAAATTGTTTATACACTTAAAACCCAAAACAGACTACAACTTTTCTTCTGATGAGAAAAACCCACAGGACCAAAGACACAACAATACTTAAATGGATAAGGATAAAATCAAAACATATGTCTTTAAAAACACAGAAGTCAAAAACATAATTTAGGAAAAAGGACACATGAATTTTTGGGGGAGTATTCATTTAAAAATATTTTTTCCTTGAAAAGTGTGGCACAAAATAAAAATCAGACTAGAAGTTTACTACCTAGCATAACTGAAAAACTTAAAGGCACAAAACACATGCAACAAGTGAAAATACAAGTATGGCTGAAAGCTTTTTGTTCCTTCACATTGTAACTGGGGCACACACATTCTTCTCCATGGCTTTTACTAAAAAAGGGATTTTATCTAATTGTTCACAGATAAGAATAGAAAAAATGTACAAATTATCCTAAGGACGCAATAATTCTTAGTAAGACTTCAAAGACTACAAGTGTGTTAATGCTAGAAAATATATGACTTAGTTTCTTTCAGGAATTGCCATGGTTCATGTAATCAATGCTTGCATTAAAGCTCCTTGCTGTAAAAAAGTATTAAAGCCTAGACAGGTATATTTCTTTGCAAGGCTGGGATAATTTATAGAAGCTGTTTTACTGACAGTTCATTCAACTTCTTTGAAACAAAGAGTTGAACCACTTTGTATTGAACCTATGTATTTTAAGGAGTCTTTCATTTAAAACTTAGTGAACCATTCTAAACTAGTTTAGAGCCAAGGTCAGTACCCCATAAACTCTGTTCTGTGCCATGTTTAGGGAAAAAAAAACACCTCAAAACCCCACAAACATACAAGCCAAACACAGACCAGTCTGAGAATTACAGTTAATAGATGTAACTTAAGACTCTAAGAAAAAAAATAAAAACAAGTATGTTTCTACTGCAAATATTTCAGCAGCATAATTCCCTTCATATAAACCATAACTCTAACAAAGAACAAATCCAAAACAACTTTGGATTTTACATCATCACACACATACCATTGCGTGGTATTTCAGAGACCTATCAAAAAGAGTGCATTAACTGAACTACTTACTTTTTCAGAGAATCAATAATATCCATAGAAAAGTTTTCATCCCAGCCACAGTCCAAAAGAAAACGAAATTCATCTACTTGCAACAGATAGCAAAGGGCAGATTCCTCTTGCACCCCTGAAAGCGTAGTCAACTTGATAATCGATGTCATTTTCCTCTCCCAAGTACTTAATCGCCAACAGAACTAATCTGAATGGAGGAAGAAAATGTTACATTGCCTAAGCCAAAGCAAAGGTCTATTTATACCTAACTTCATTCATTTCTGCGAACACTTAGGATAACACCTACTGGACATTAATTAAGCCTCAGATATTAACCTGATCCTTGTAGGTGTTTGGCTATTACAAAGAGGATATTTTTACTATTGTAATAAAAAGAATCACTCGGAACAGCGCAGCTAGCAGCAGCACCTCCCCGCCGAGGGCCGGATACGGCGCACCCAAGGCTGTGTCCCCTCAAGCCCAGCAACTGCCGCAGGGGGTGTGAGCCCGAGCTGGAATCCAGCATGGGGCGTGCCCGGGGCTCCACACGGCGGCTCCAGCGTCCCGCCGCCGAGACAGAGGCCTAACCCTGACGAAGTGAGCCTCGCCTGCCGGGCCCAACATTAAGGGAGCAAGCCCTGCGCCCACTCCACTCCCCGGAAGAAGAGAAAAAGGACAAGGGTGAGCTCGGCGAGGACAAAGCCGAGCGCTTCACGCCTCAGCCCCGGGCAGAGACCGGCTCCCCGCAGCGGGGAAGCAGAGCCCTCCTTACCGGGCCCCGGGCCCGGCTGCAGTGTGGCCCGCAGCGCTGCCCGCCGAGCAGCCACTCCGGCCACCGCCACCCGCCCCGGGGCCTCCCTCAGGCCCACCGGCGCACCCAGCCGCCGCTTCCGCCCCGCGCAACAGCCTCCGCCACCTTGCGGAAGGCGTGAAGAAGGAGGAAAGGTGGAAGGGCAACGGAAGGCACCACCGCGAGGCTTCCCGGGAGGGGTGAGTTCTCCTCCCCCTCTCCCTGCGCAGCCGGTGGGCTCTCCCGGCCTGCTCGCGCCGCCCGTTGCCCTTGGGGTGGCAGCTGCACGGGTTCTGGCGGCAGCAGCGAACGGTAACGGTGGGGCCCGCAGGGGGGTGGGAGCCGCTGATGGGCAGTTTCCGTGGTCCCGGTGTCAGCCTCGCCCTGTGCCCTGTCTCCCTGTCCGTTCGGCCGGAACACAGGACGGGGGGGCCGGGCCGGAGCGACCTTCAGCCCCGTGGTGTTATGGCGTCTTGTCCCTGCGGGCACGGGCGTGCGGGGGACGGTGGGGTACCCAGGCAGGCTAGGAGCACCGGAGCTGGGAGATTGGCAGGGCCCTCTCCTGGGTCACTACCGTGAGCGCCGGCCGCAGCCGCCATAGCGACCGCCTGCGGTTTGGGATGTGCGAGCAACGGCGTCGGTTCTGTCCGTTCTCTGTAACTAGTATGTGGCTTTGAGCTCGCAGCTGTGACAAGAAGACGCTAATCTTAGCTTTGCTTAGGTTGTAAAAGCTGGCTGGGTTTTAGAAATGCCCTTTCTTCCTTACTTGTCAATTACCCACTGAACGTACAGATTAACTTCAGCCTTGTTACAGGTAATAAAGTTGTCTACAGGAGTTTAGGTAGTAAATGCATTTGTTAGAGTTACTTTAATGGGTAAGTTACTTTAGAACATCTAAATAGAACTATTTCACCAGGGATATCTTAAAAGACGTTTTGTGTTTCTCATTTTAGGTTAAAGCTCTCTTCTCCAGGGCTCTAAGTTAGGTTGCTTTCTAAGAAAACTATAAGGATTTGAGAACAGTATGTGTCTCATAGTAAGTGAGATTAAAGATGCCAGGTATGCAACACTTTCCATGTACAGATTTATCAGTAACCCTCCTCTGTTATTCTTTTCTCTCTAGCAACCATGGTGAATTTCACCCAAGCTCTGCGTGATCACTGGGTTCACATCCTTGTTCCCTTAGGATTTGTGGTTGGATGCTATTTGGACAGACTGAATGATGAAAAACTGTCTACCTTCAGAAACAAGAGCTTATTATATAGAAGGTCTGCTGTATGTTATTTGCAAAATGCTTCTCTGCGCTTCTTGAGAGTATTAAGTATGAGAAAAAACCCATCAGTGTCAAAATGCTAAAGGGAAGAAAGCCCTAAAAATTTCAGCAAGCATTCATGAACAGTTTAAATTACTAATGCCCCTGAAAATTGGGGCTTTAGGAGCCATTTTAGTAATGAAAGAAAGGATCACTAGGTACTTACGTAAATCTGTCATTTGAAAATAATAACCGAGATTTTGAAAATTAACACATTTATGTTATCAGCTGCTGTATCTTCACTGAAGGATGTGACTATAGACACTGATGAGTTTGGGCTTGCTGACCCACCTCTGGGAAGAATTTAGATAATTTAATGCATTGCCTCAGCTCTATCACTTGTAATTCTGTTTTAGATGGTAGCATTAACAAAACAACATGAACTAAAAGAATGTTATTATCAATTTGCAGGTGGATTTTTATTTTTTTGTTAACTCTGATCTTGCCTAAATTAGGTAGACCAGAGTCATAAAGAAAGTTATAAACTTACTTTCGTAGTTAGTTGAGGAAGTAAGTTTATCACATTATCCACCCCATGGCACTTTTCTTACTGCAGTTACTGGTGAAATGAGGTTGGTGTTTCAGCTTCCGGCAAAAGTCCCCTCTTTCACACCCTAGTTCTCTTCCCAGTAAAGCAGTGAATTTTTGTATTTAAAAGATTTTTTTCCTTTTGGATCCCATTATGTAGAAAGTCTGTTAACATCTTAGAATTCAGCAGCATCAAGCTTCCATTTAAAAGAATGGGAGTTAAGAGGACTCAATCCTTTGAAGCTTTGGAAAGAAAAGAGGAAGTGTATCAGTGTTGAACAATTTTTAACTGACAGCAGTTGCGAGGAAAAAAATTCATACATCACTCTCAAAACTGTAGAATAAGTACATCTATTAGTAAATGTTCTACAAAAATTATCCTAATTTTAGTCTCTTTCCTTTTTTTCTTTCCACACAGAGAGTTGAAGCCTGGTGAAGAAACTACATGGAAATAAAGGCTGCAGATGAAATGGAAAATATTTTTTTTTTCGATTCATCATCTTATCTTACTCGATGAAAGCATAGGGTTATGGTTTTTACCTTGGGAGAATATGTAAAGCTGCGAAAGACAACTACAGTTCATCTGTGCTAGCTTAATTTTAAAGGTGACCTTTTGGAAAATGATTAAATTACATGACTAGTATGTGTCCAGGGGTTCTCTTAGTCCGTAAGTGTTGAGAAACATTTATCCTCAGAAGTCATGTTCTGGAGGGGAAAGGAAGAATTACGTAATAAAGAAAAAACTATGCAAAAATCATTCATGTTGCAGTGTGGTTGTAGAATTTATGTATTTATAGCTCATTTGTGAACTCGCCTTCAGAGAAACACCAGAAACCCAGGATGTGGTTTGGCGTTTCTTTAGCTGGATCTGAACAAGTTTGTTTTCAGATTTCCTCGGCAGGTTTGTTTGGAATGCCAGCCAGTGGGATGCGGCTTTGTGAGCGGGTGTCAGCAGAGGGAGATGGAAAGGAGAGGCGAGCTGTTACCGCTGAACTCGGTGGCGTGAGGAGCCTGGGCATTGTGGTGCGCAGGAATTCACGCTTACAGCGTGAACTCAAGGTACCCGTTTAACCGCGCGGCGGCACGGAGCAGCCCGCCGGCCTCCTTGCTGACAGGGGGCGCCGGCACGGCCGCCTCACGCAGGCAGCGTAGCTCACCAGGGCCCTGCGCAGATCGGCTGCTGCGGGTGGCCCAGAAGGAGAAGGTTCGATTGGCTGGGGGAAGTGTCACGTGAGGCGGAGGCTGTAGCCGTTGACAATAAACATGGAGTCGATCTTCCATGAGAGGGTGAGTGAGCGTTTGTGGTAGGGTTGTGCCGCTTTTGGGGGGAGGGGGGCCGCTCAGCTGCTGTAGGGGGTGTTGTGCCACCGGTTGGCCTTCCGGGACGGGAGTCTTATCTGAGGAGCCGCTCGGGGTGGCGGCTGGTTCTCCCGTTCCTGCGATAGCCCAGGGGCAGCTCTCGGTCCGACGGGGTACGCTTCGCCTGTGTCGTGCCCCTTCCCGCCATCCTTCCGGGAGCAGGATGAGGTAGCGGCTCTGTTTCCTCTGTCTTGGGGAAGAGCCGAGCCCTTCCTGGTGCCTGTGGCCTGGCCTAGCTTGGCTCTGCTTGGCCTGCCGGCTCCGCGGGGAAACTAAGTGCAGTTAGTGAAGATCGAAGAGGGTCAGGCTGAGCTACAGTGCTCCTTCTCGCATGGTGACTACTTTTCTTAGGCTTTTAAAAATAGACCTCAAGTATGAGAAGGTACAGGCTACAGCTGCTTATGTTGCTTGTGAGAGAAGTCGCTTAACTGAGAAATGAGCATGAGGGTGAGCAGCGGCAGGCAGGGCCGTTTCTGTGCTCTCGGACACAGCCCTTCACCTACGCTGGCTTGGTTGGGCTTGTGTTATGAGCAGGGAAAGGGAGAGCTGTTAAGGAAGTCCTAATTAATGTACTGTGCTTTTGTGTGCTGAACAGCGTTTCCTGTTTTGGAAGACAAATGCTTCTATAAACTGCTGTGATTTATCCAGTTTCCCAAATATGAGCTATTTGTGCTTTAATGCTATTCAAATATAATTGTCTTTTTTCTCATGTACTTTCCCAGTGTGTCTGCACCTTTATTGTCTTAAGATTAATGTTAGTTTTTATACACTGCTCTCATATATTGCTTGGTTTCCTTAGCAGATAAAGCAAGATAGCAGTGTAACTTAAAAACAAAACAAAACTGCTCTGAAATCTGTGGAACGTGAGAAGTGTTCTTTCAAACTAGGTTTCTATTGCAAAATTTGGCAGTCACTGTGGTATTAAAGAGCAGGTGCCCCTAGGATGAGTGTTAGATTTCAACCATTATGGTCTCTGCTACAATGACCTTGAGTTCTAGTCTAGATTTGAAAATCAAAACAAGTGTACCTTTTCCTTACCTGGTCTAGCTTATTGCATAATGAAATGACAACCTTTTTTAATGACTACGTTGCTTTCTAATTTAATAATAAAACTGCTGAAATTGAAGTTGCAGAGCACAATACATTTAAAATCACAAGCTGATTCTTTGTAGTTGCTACAGGTTTTGGGATGTGGGAGGGGAGCAGCCTTGGATTGCTCTGTAGTAAGTCAGCTATGCAGTTACAAAGTTAAACCTGAATGCCTGTTTTAAATTAGAGTACTAACTACTTTATCTTGTTATCATTATTGGTCTACAAAAAATTTAACTGAAATTCTGTCTCTTAAGGAGTATTTCCCCCCATCAAGCTATGTCAAAATATTTAAAGTGCTGTATGTGCATGCACATGTCCTTACACACATCCTTACACTTCAATCTGCACACCTTGGATGTTCCAATAAAAAGGCATGAAAAATATGGTATTTATAAAGGAAATTTATTAAAACAAAGACCTAAGCAATGAAGCCCTTTTAACAGGGGAATGACAGTTGCAGAAAGTAGGACTAACCATGACTACTACTAGTAGTTACCACTAACTTAGAAGTTAGTAATTTCTTTGATATTAGTATTTGAAAACACTGAAAGTAGGGAAGCAGGTTATATCCAGATAGATTTCAAGGAGGAAATTTCAGATTATGGGAAGATGCAGTATTGTCTGCGTTTAAAAAAAAAAAAACAAACAAAAAACAACAAACCTGAAGTTAATGTCTGTTAAGAACTAAGATCAGTTTTCTCTTCTGCTTTTTGCACTTACTATGTACAAATTTTGCATATGAAAGTTAATGTTTATTACTTTAAGATAAAACTGTACAAACACAGACAGTAAAAAACACTTTTAGTTAAATTAAGATCGAAGACTGTAATACAACTAATTTTCAAAGGTATTTTAATATCTTTTTATTTCTGAATGAGATTCATATAATTCTGCTGGAGAAACCTGTGATTCTTGAACAGGTTCTTCTGTTACAGTTTTATCGTATGACCAGCAGCAGGGATGTGATAGCAAGGGGATAGGACCTGCTGAGCTTGCTGAGGGAAGGACATGAGCTGGAGGAGGCTTCTGGATTCTGTTGCAGCTGGGCTGTACAGCCTATCCAGCCTTAATAACTCATTGCTCAATTAAGTGATGAAGTCCTAGAAAGTTTCTGTGATCTGCAGTAGAGGGAACTTTCAGTGTTCCTGCTGTAAGGGAAATCACGGGAGATTTGTACATATGATTTGTATGAGCCGTTCATGGAAGTTCAAAGTCTGTTCTTCCAAGCCATGCTTTTGTATTCTTAGTTTCTGTGGGTTTGGCGGGAGGGAGGGGTGTTACTTATTTTAGTTGAGGGGCTTTGGTTTTGTTCTTAATAGTGTATGTCACTGGAGTTATTAATGTAAATAAAAAAGGGCTGATTAAAATGAAAGAGAGAAGCGGGATTAAAAAAAATGTTGATCTTGTCTATACTTGTTTAGTTACTTTACTATTCTTTTAGTCAATTTACTGATTTTTAATTTGAGTTGACAACTGTTATCTTAAATGTGCTGAATATGTAACAAAATATCTGAAGTGTTTTCCATTCGAATGGTTTATCAAGAAAAATATTTTTGCTGTTTAAAATGCTGAATTTTTATTTTTTTTCTTGTCACCTCATCATTGTCATCAAGATTTCAGAACCGGTATTATTAGTCTCTTTTACCTAAATTCTATTCATAAATTTCATGTGGAAAAGGAGCTTTACTGCTCCTCCAACTGCTGATCGAAGAAGTAAAAATCTAAACTGATTTTCCTGTGGTTGTGACTTGGAAGAGGACAGAATGTATTGTATTGATAATTGCAGTCTTTGTGAGATTTGGTCAAGTGACTGGCAATTTTTAGTGTTTTAAAAAATAACATTTTGACATTAATTTATTTCCTTTGAGGAAATAAAGTAGCATGCTGTCGTGGTTTAAACCAAACCAGACAACTCGTTCACCCACCCCCCCTCGCCCCCTGCCCCCCCCACCCCCCGGAGGGATGGAGAGTCAAAAAGAATGCAACTTCCATGGGTCGAGACAAGAACAGTCCACCAACCAAGGCACAACACAAATCGCTACTGCCACCACCACCACCACCAACGATAAAGGAAACAGGGAAGAGAACACAACACCCCACCACCAGCCAACCAACAACCCATTCCCCCCCAGCCTGACCAAGCACTGACCCATACCTCCTCCAGCCCTGCAGTCCCAGCCCTTTCGGCTAGCTCTCCATTACTTCCTGGGCATGACGTGCTGTGGTATGGAATACCTCTTTGGTCAGTTTGGGTCAGGTGTCCTGTCTCTGCTTCCTCCCGGCTTCCCCTCCTCCCTGGCAGAGCATGAGGCTCACAAAGTCCTTGGTCAGGGTAGACATCGCTTAGCAACAACCGAAAACATCGGTTTCACCAACATTGTTCCCAGGCTGGAAGTCAAAACACAGCACTGCACCAGCTACCACAAAGGAGAAACATGACTGCTACTGCTGAACCCAGGACACATGCATGTTGGTTTGTTCCCATCAAATTAATGGGAGAGTTGTATTCTACAGCTTGCAGTGTAATACATCCAAAGAATGTATGGCATTCTGGGTGAGTGGCAAGGGCAGAATGCCTGAATTAAATGGTTGAGTCATTTTACAGAGTGAAGCATTAATGTAATTTTTTGTTGTCTTTTTTTTTTTCTCTTCCAATTTAGCAAGAAGGCTCCTTGTGTGCTCAGCACTGTCTGAATAATTTGCTGCAAGGGGAATATTTTAGTCCTGTTGAGTTATCCTCTATTGCACAGCAGTTGGATGAGGAAGAAAGAATGAGAATGGCAGAAGGAGGAGTGTCTAGTGAGGAATATAGAACATTTTTACAGGTAAAATCATTTTAATTTGAGGTTACTTGATATTTGCCTGAAATTTAATATTTTGTACCACAGACCCACTATTCTTGCATAGCTAGAAAAGGTTAATTCCCTAGTGCTGAAACTTCTTAATTTTATAGGTCTTTTCGCTCACACATCTTAAATTTGGCATTCTCAAATGTTATTAGTACAGCTTTACAAAACTTCTCCAAAAAGCTACATTATCCTCATCTTACAGGTAGATCGATCAAGCATCATGAGGAGGAGGATCAGCAATTTGCCATTTTGGGGGTTATTTTTTTGTAAGCTAGTGGCAGAGGTAGGAGCAGAAGTTTCCATGCCTGCATGTCCTTTAAGCATTGAGCATTTCTAATTTAAAAGTTTGGGGATTTTAATTATTTGGTTACTTAGTTATTGTAATTAGCCTTACATACTAGGGCATACTGAGTTGTTTCTCTAAGTATGTGTAGTTATATTTATTTTCAAAACTTAT